CCAAGATATATTGGTGTCCATTTGAACCTCAAAAAACTTATTGAAGCAGAAGGTGGAACCCCAAAAAAATATCAGATATAGTACAACAAGTCAGTGAAGAGCGGCTTTTTTCTGCAGAAAAATGTTTGAATTTCTTCAAATTTTCCAAATATCTGTAACAGAAAGACAAAACTCAGATTCGAAATGATAAACAATAAATATTGTCATCCATGGTGTATCGCGACAAACATCCTCCAGAGGGCGCAACCAGTGAATTTAATGAAAACTTCCGTTACACACTACCGACACATACTCAACTTTAGTAGATAGAAGCGTTCCGCAGCTCAAATGAAACGACAAGATTCGGTTTCCCAATGTCTATTAACCCTTTGAACACAATAGCGTATTTTCCTGATGAACATTCTTCTAAGTGAGGACGATACGCCTCCGTCACTCGGTGGGGCAGAAATGATACTTTATCTCCCAAATCTAACAAGACCGCCTCACCAAAAACGCATATTCAGCGTTGACATTGATCCATGTCACCTTGGATTTGAATAGCGCAACAAACACATGAATTCTACTTTTTTTCCTCCATTTTATTTGAAGTGCTACATGTGATGATGCGACGATTATTAGTGAAGATACAACTTTGTACCCTCTTGGCATCGTCTCCTTTTTTTTTTCTCTGTTGATGAATTCTGCATTCGTTTCCCTTTCATTTGATGTGCTGCACGTTGAGATCTAAAAATCCAGAAATCATTGACGAGAGAATACAAAGATGGCGCAACATGTCAGAAAGACATTAAGTCACAATTTCACTCATGATATTCGGATCTTACCGTGCAGCACATCAAATGAAAGAGAAACGAAGGGCGGAGGTTCACGCTTAAATCACTACGATACTCGTTCCATCCAGCGGCCCCCTTGGTACTCCACCTAACCTATCAGCTCCCTTCAACCCCAATAAAATTGAATGTTTGGTGGTCATACAATCGGAATAATAATGGAAATATGGATAACGGTTGTTATCCATATGGATTTGAATTATTTTATGACGATTTTTCATATTTGTCTGTATTGCAACAAACATCCTCCAGAGGGCGCAACAAGTGAATTTAATGGAAACTTTCGTTACACACTACCGACACATACTTAACTTTAGTAGATAGATGTGCAATTTCGTTAATTCCAGCGACATGATTATTCCAAGACATATTGGTGTCCATTTGAACCTCAAAAAACTTATTGAAGCAGAAGGTGGAACCCTAAAAAATAGGAGATATAGTCAGCAAGTAACTGAAAAAATGAATCGCAAACGTGTTATGATTTCGATATATTTTGAGGTATTATTATTCAATATCGAACGACTAGTCATAAAGAAAATTATTTGCATTGTATTCCGAAAGCTTTGGACACCGAATGAATTTCTTAATACCTGTTGATGATCTCGATCTTCCCTAATATTTATAAACATTCATATCATGCTGAAGTTGTAACTTTGCCCCGGTCACCTTCTTACGACAAAATGCTTGATGTGCATTCATGCAACTGTATTTGAAGATAGTTTTATATTCCTATATATATTATAATCGTATCAATTTTGATGACTATGAACTTGGAATAACGAAAGATGGAATTGTGAATACTGTGTGTTTTTGTTTCAGAATATCGAAGTTGAGGTTAAAATATCTTTCAATTCATGTATTCACTTGAATGGATTTGAATTATTTTATGACGATTTTTCATATTTGTCTGTATCGTTACTTTGTTATGTTTATATGTACAAGAACTCAGAACTCCGAACAATTGAAACTCAGGTTATCTACACATAATAGACTCGTCCGGTATCTATATCAAAGGATGCTATTTTGAATGGGAATTTCGAAAAAACTACAATACGAAATGAATTTCCAAATATCACACTTGAAATTTAATGACAAATGTCAATCATCTATAATAATGTCCTGAATAAAATTCAAGATATAAAATGCCACTTTTTGTTATATCGACCCAACGAATCAGAATTTAAAATGACAGACAAACTTATTTTCTTTATTTCTAAAATGTCCTGTTTTTGTCAACCTTAGTATCTTTCAATATGATGTTTCTTCATCTCTATAAAATCTGGTATATAATTTTTTGTTATTGCATATTTTTGACAACTTTCCCTGTATAAGATAAGTTTTCATTTTCAAAAAAGATGTGTGTGATATGTATTTTATTTATTTTGGTAGTATATTATAAAGCCATTTATATAAAATATCAACGTTATTGAGACTGCAGCTGAACAAATTTCCTTTGGAATGACCCATACAGAACGGCGTGTTTTTCTTGAATTTTGGAACACACCACGATGAATCTTCAAAGTCTTCCAAATTCACTACGGTTGTGTATATATATTGAATAGAGCAGTTTGTCCAACAAATCACTGAATATCGACAAATTCTAGCCTCATAATGTGCAACTATAGACTGACAAAAATGGAAACTGCTGAGATTTAAACTCGTTCTGGAAAGGTTGCTATGACGGTTTTGAATGTTGTTGTTGAGATGACTCTGACTGATACTGCACACGTTGATGTATTATTCTGAAATAAATTCGATTTTTCAATAAAAAAATACACTGAAATAAATTCGATTTTTCAATAAAAACATACACTAAAAAAATTTTTTGGCAACAGAGAGGGTAATGTCTTTCATGAAGTAATTGCTACACTTATAATGAAAATAAAAAATCAAGTGTCATTCAAAATAAAGAATTTAAAACACATATTCTGCACGTACTAAGTGAAGGAAATATATTGTATGAAAACACTACTTTATGCGGATCATATCTGTGAGTGAGAATTTTTGACCCGAATGAAAAATATTGTATACACCCAAAAACTCTTTGCCTATAAAATTGGAAACAGTACTAACCTTAATTTTGTACAATTTCAAATGAAACGACAAGATTCGGTTTCCCAATGTCCATCAACCCTTTGAACACAATAGCGTATTTTCCTGATGAAAATTCTTCTAAGTGAGGACGATACGCCTTCGTCACTCGGTGGCGTATCGTCAAGTATCAAAGTAGCAGATTTGCCTGTGGAGATGCCGCAGAGGATATTCACTGCCAAAATCGTGAAAAGAAAATTTGGTGAGGCGGTCTTGTTAGACTCATTCATTTCCACAAATCCTCACACACGCCACCACTTCCCACGCTGACTACGTCACTTTCAAGCTTTTAATGTTTTATCACTATTATTATTATTATTATTCGACCCTCATTCTCCAGTTCAATTTGATCTAGCATAATCAATCGAGCAATATTTGATGTCTCCATTCTGATTGGCTGACCGACCCTACTCTGTAACAACAGAAGTTAGGTTGGGTGTTCCACAAGGTTCCGTTCAAGAGTCTGAAAATTCGCAAAATGAATCTTCATATGACAAAGCATGGACTTTAGTCATTTTCTAATGATGCTAACTTGGTTAGCGAAACGCGTTAAATGATAAATGACTGTCATATTGAAACACGAAAAACTGTTACGACAATAATGATGAAACGATAACGAATGAACGCACGGAAAACGGTCGAAAACGCACGAAAAACAATCGAAAACGCACGAAAAACGATCGTAACCGCACGAAAAACGATCGTAAACGCACGAAAAACGATCGAAAACGCATGGAAAACAATGTATTTTGAAATGTCATTGTCGAAAACTTCGCTCCCCCATTCGCGTCCTCACGTTGAGTCCACAACGCTCAACCTCTCGACACTTTTGGATCTCCTCTTTCTCCTGATGATGCTAACTTGGTTAACAAAGATACTAGATTTCCGACATGTTGGAACGCTAGACTTCTGTTGAATCGACATGTTTTTTTCTTAAATGATGTATTTTGAAACGCCCTGTATACACATTAATATCATATTTCAAATCGACATGTTTTTTTCCTTAAATGATATATTTTGACGCACCCTGTACAATTCGACGTCATATTTGTTTTTCAATGATGTATTTTGAGATACCTTGTACACATTGAAGGATCGCACGTTGAAAACTTACAGCCTCGTAGAACTGTTTTGTTTTTTCTTAAATGATGTATTTTGACGCATCCTGTACACTTCGACGCCATGTTTGTTTTCAATGATGTATTTTGAGATATCTTGTAACATTGAGGTATCACACTTTGAAACGATACAGCCTCAATAATTTGTAATGTTTTTTATTAAATCTGATTCATTATTATTAATATATCATTTTCGCGCTTCCAATTTTCGTCGAGTAGTTCACGATCAATTCCTAAACCGGCAACGCCACATTTTCTCATAAACAATGATTTATTGTACAACTGGCAACGCCGAACCTGCCATGCTGGCATGTATTCACATTTGACAGATGCCGTCTTATGAGTCTAGTGTTTACAGTGTCCTTCTTCAACCAATAGATAGTTCAGCTAGTGACTCATANTTCAACATCAATGGATTCGTTTAGATGTCATGAAACATAATTAATCATTTGTCGAAGCCAAAAGGGCCTTATAACCTATTTTCATTATACTAGCAGCAACAGACCGATGTGTGTACTCATTTCAAATGATTTCATTTGTAGATTATGAAAAGTATAATATCGAGCATCTAATGTGAAATAGCATAGAAAGAATTGCACATTGCAACATTGCATATGGTATTTTTGGATTCCTTAGGGTGAGAAGGTTTCGAATCCGTCAAAAACAGGTCACTTCCGGTTTTTACTTCCGGTTTTTACTTCCGGTCGTCCGATTCCGATGATTTTGACATCAATGGATTCGTTTAGATGTCGAAAAACGTAGTTAATCATTTTACGAAGCCAAAAGGACCTCATAACCTATTTTCGCTATACTAGTCGCAACAGGTCGGTGTGGGTACTCATTTCAAATGATTTAATGTGTAGACTATGAAAAATATAATATCGAGCGCCTAATGTGAAACAGCATAGGAAGAATTGCAAAGAGAATCATTGAAAAAACTTCGGATCGTTACGTACATCATGTCAAATGAAAGAAGAAAAATTGCAGAATTCATCACAACGAAAAAACAAATATGGTGCAACATGTCAGAAGGGCACTAACCCACATCTTTATTAATGATAACTGAATCTCAACGTGCAGCACATCAAATGAAAGGGAAACGAATGCAGAATTCATCAACAGAGAAAAAAAAACAGAGACGATGCCAAGAGGGCACATAGTTGTATCTTTACTAATAATAGTCGCATCATCACAGTAAGCACTTCAAATAAAATGAGGGAAAAAAGCAGAATTCATGTGTTTGTTCAAATCAAAGGTGACATGGATCAATGTCAACGCTGAATATGCATCCAACAAAGACTCTTTGATTTTCTTTTGTTTCATTTCAGAATATGTCATCATTAATTTTTATATTCAAACCCAAAGTGACATTGATCACTGTCAATGTTCATAGATATGATCTGCATAAAGTAGTGTTTTCAATATTTTTTGTTCATTTAGTACGTGCAGAATATGTGTTTTAAATTCATTATTTTGAATGAATCTTGATTTTTTTCATTTTCATCATAAGTGTAGCAATCACTTCGTGAAAGACATTACCCTCTCTGTTGGCAAAAGTATTTTTTTAGTGTATGTTTGTACTGAAACCCCAATTTATTCAGAATGATGCATCATCAACGTGTGCAGTATCAGTCAGAGTCATCTCAACAACAACATTCAAAACCGTCATAGCAACCTTTCCAGAACGAGTTTAAAGTCTCAGCAGTTTCCATTTTTTTTTTCAGTCTATAGTTGCACATTATGAGGCTAGAATTCGTCGATATTCAGGGATTTATTGGACAGACTGCGTCTATTCAATATATACACAACCGTAGTGAATTTTGAAGACTTTGAAGATTCATGGTGGTGTGTTCCAAAATTCAAGAAAAACACGCCGTTCTGTATGGGTCATTCCAAAGGAAATTTGTTCAGCTGCAATCTCAATAACGTTGATATTTTATATAAATGGCTTTATAATATACTACCAAAATAAATAAAATACATATCACACACATCTTTTTTTGAAAATGAAAACTTATCTTATACAGGGAAAGTTGTCAAAAATATGCAATAACAAAAAATTATATACCAGATTTTATAGAGATGAAGAAACATCATATTGAAAGATACTAAGTTGACAAAAACAGGACATTTTAGAAATAAAGGAAATAAGTTTGTCTGTCATTTTAAATTCTGATTCGTTGGGTCGATATAACAAAAAGTGGCATTTTATATCTTGAATTTTATTCAGGACATTATTATAGATGATTGACATTTGTCATTAAATTTCAAGTGTGATATTTGGAAATTCATTTCGTATTGTAGTTTTTTCGAAATTCCCATTCAAAATAGCATCCTTTGATATAGATACCGGACGAGTCTATTATGTGTAGATAACCTGAGTTTCAATTGTTCGGAGTTCTGAGTTCTTGTACATATAAACATAACAAAGTAACGATACAGACAAATATGAAAAATCGTCATAAAATAATTCAAATCCATTCAAGTGAATACATGAATTGAAAGATATTTTAACCTCAACTTCGATATTCTGAAACAAAAACACACAGTATTCACAATTCCATCTTTCGTTATTCCAAGTTCATAGTCATCAAAATTGATACGATTATAATATATATAGGAATATAAAACTATCTTCAAATACAGTTGCATGAATGCACATCAAGCATTTTGTCGTAGTACGGTGACCGGGGGCATCGAAATCATAACACGTTTGCGATTCATTTATCAGTTTCATTTGAAAAGTGAGTTTCAGTTTGCAGAAATAATAGCCCACACATGTTGGAAATTTTGCCATAGTGTGGTGAAAATCGTATTGAAAATTCTACGAAATATAAGCGCATACATACATAGTGAATCAATATTTGAAATACGTCGTTTGGAACCCCCCATAACCCTTCTTTCTCGAATTTTGGCAGAAATAATGCTGAGTCGTATTGTAGAGTTAACGTTCGAAATTGGGGAAAGTGAAGTATTCAACAGTTTTGCGTAAGTTTTCGACCAGTTTACGTGCCTTTATTCGTTATCGTTTCGTCGTTATTGTCGTTTTTTTCCCTATTTCAATATGACAGTCATTTCTCACTTAACGCGTTTCGCTAACCAAGTGAGCATCATCAGGAGATAACTAAAGTCCACGCTTTGTCGTATGAAGGTTCGTTTTGCGAATTTTCAAACTCCTGAACCGAACCTTGAGGAACAATCAGCCTAACTTGTGTTACAGAGTGGTGTCGTCAGCCAATCAGAATGGAGAAATCGAATATCAGTAGAATGATGGTGTTAGATGAAATTGAACTGAAGAATGTGGATCGAATAATAATAATAATAGTTATAAAACATTAAAAGTCAACTTGTGTTACAGAGTGGTGTCGGTCAGCCAATCAGAATGGAGGAATCAAATATCGGTCGAATAATTGTGTTAGATGATATTGAACTAGGGAATGTGGGTCGAAAAATTGATAATAGTAGTGATAAAACATTAAAACTTTGAAAGTGACGTAGTCAGCGTGGGAGGTGGTTATCAGAAAAAAAATGGAGCAACTGTCAGATGGGCACTGAGTTGTATATTCGCTGATAATAATCGAATCTTCGCGTACAGCACGTCAAATGAAAGAATAAAAAATGCAGAATTCATTGACGAGAGAATACAAAGATGGCGCAACATATCAGAAAGACATTAAGTCACAATTTCACTCATGATATTTGGATCCCAATGTGCAGCACATCAAATGAAAGAGAAACGAATGCAGAATGTATCTACAAAGAAAAAACAAAGATGACGCAACATGTCAGAAAGGAACAAAGCCACATCTCCGTTGATGACAATTGAATCTCAACGTGCAGTACATTGACTGAAAGGGAAAAGAATGCAGAATTCATCTGAAGAGAAAAAAACAAAGACGACGTAACATGTCAGAAGGGCAATGAGCTGTATTTTCGTTAATAATGATTTGTTCTCAACGTGCAGCACATCGAATGAAATGGAAACGAAT